CCTGGAATGCTCTAGGCAGCCATTATTAATTGATTGGAATTAACAATAAAGGTGAAACCCATTTGGCATTTCTGCCCAAAACATTGGTCTATTTTTTGTCAATTTTAAGTAGTGTTCTTATGCCTCAATGGACTCTTCTTTTGGAAATTGTTAATAATCATGTAATGATTTTTAACATGAATTAAATGGGTGATAATTCTCAAAGACTCAAATCCAAAGCAAACAAATAAAAGGCAGGTTAAGTAGACTTTAGAATTGTTTTTGTTGCGTGCCTTCAAGTCCATTCCAATTCATAACGACCCTGTATAGGGTTTCTGATGAACATCTGGTGGGTTTGAACCACCAGTCTTACAGTTAGCAGTCCACTGCTTATCCTGTATCACCATACCAGGGCTCCTTACTTTGGAATTATGACATTGTTTTAAGACAAGGATTGCAAACTACAGTCCATTCTGCAGCCAGTTTTTGTATATAACCCATGAGCTGTGAATGTTTTTTCCTATTTTTCTTGTTTTCTTTTTAAATGATTATAAGGGGGAAAATTAAAACCATATAAGTAAGAGTTTGACATGTTAAAATACATGAAAGTCAGTTTTTAGTGTCCTTAACTAAAGCTTTATTGGAACATGTCTGTGTTCATTCATTTACTGTTTATAGTTGTCCTCCAAGGACATAGTTTAGTATTCGTGACAGAGACCATATGGCCTGCAATACCTAAAACATTTACTATCTGGCCATTACAGGAAATAGTTTGCCAGTCGTGTTTTAAGATAAGAATGTGGGCAGTAAATGATTGCTGTTGGATTGTTTGATTAATGAGGGATATTATTTTGTTGGTATTTTCAACAAGTTTCTGAAAAGGAATAATTTAGAAAATGGCTTTTTGTATACACATAAGTAATAGAAATAGCCCTTTGTTTATAAAATATAGTTGATATAGAGTTACTGACCATAGTTTACAATATCAGCTCATGCCATTACTTCTTCCACAGTTGAGACGAAGTCTATGGCACAGATAACCAGCAGTTTAAAATTACATCTCTGTGATAGAACAGTGGTTCTCTTGATTTGTTTCAAGACCCCTTTAGATTCTTGAAAAGTTGTACCTAAAGAACTTGTGTTTATGTGAATTACATCTTTAATATTTACCTATTAGGAGTTAAAATAGAAACAATTAAAAATACTTACTAATTTGTTTGAAAATAATCATAAATTTTTTACATAACAACAGAAGAATAGATTTTTATGAGAAACAGTTATTTCCCTAAAACAAAACATTTAGCAGAATGTCTTTAGAAATTGTTTTGGTAGAAGACAATTGGATTCTTGTGTCTTTTCCTTCATTTAGTCTATTATGATACGTTTTGATTGGAGTATATGAAGAAAATCTGGCCTTACACAAATACATAATTAGTGCATATAGGAGAAGTGTTTTAATATCATTTTCAGGTAATTTTGGATTATCATGTTTATTGAAGTATCCTTTATACAGCAAAATGTACTTTTTTAGTGGCCTGCTAACCACAAGGTCAGCAGTTTGAATCTACCAGTCACTTCATAGGGGAAATATGAGACTTTCTGCTCCCATTCAGATTTCTAGACTTGGAAACCCTATTTAGGGTCGCCTTGATGGCGTATAACCACTGCCTAACCACCACAGTGATATGGATTTTGATTAACCCATATGGTCCTGTAACCACTGATACAGTCAAGTATAGAAAAGTTTCCTCATGTACTCTTGTAATCAATTCCCTCCCCTCATCTTTGGCTGATTTCTCTCCCTATAAATTTACGTTTTCCAAAATATCTTGCAAATGGAATCATATACAGTATATAGGAGCCTGGCTTTTTAAACATTTAGCATTATATGTTTTAAATTTATATAAATTGTAGCTTTCACTAGTTCATTCCTTTTTTATTGTATAGATGCTTGTGTATATATTTGCTAGTGATGTACATTGGATTGTTTCCAGTTTGGGGCAGTTATAAATGAAGCCATGATTACTGTAGTAATGTTCATTGTTCATGGTTATTGTAGTAAACTTATTGTAGTAAAGTTCATTGCAGTGAAGATTCTTCCTAATAAATAATTTAGTACCTGGTTTTATAGATCATCAGTACGTCTTTTATATCTTCTTATGGTCATCTCTCATACTTAGACCATTGTAACAGATTTTTCAAGGTATTATAACTAATAAAGGTTGTATAGTCTTACGTTGGAGTCGTTGTGTGGCTCTGTGGGTTAATGCGCTGGACTGCAAGATTGGTTTGAACTGCAAGGTCAGTGGTTCAAGCTTACCAGTCGCTCCTAGGAAACCCTATACAAGGTCGCTATGAGTCGGACCAACTCAACAGTGCATAACAGCAAAAGCAATTTTTATTTTAATACTTCAGGATAAGAATTTTTTATGTACATTCTTTACTTTGGGTTTCTGGAATAGAAGAGAGGTGAAATAGCAGATCCTGTTTTTATGTTTTTCCCTTCTTGCGTGAAACACAAAATTTCTAAAACATACTTTTCTTACAGGTAAAACCTACTTCAAATTATCCTATGCATATATTAAAACCCATTTAGTATAAGTTTCTATAATTTTGTAGCAATACTTTTTTATTTAATATTGTACTTGATTCAAGGTAGGGCAACTCTGTTTCCATGAGTAAGAAATTTACTTTAAATAGATACTGAAAAAAATTGTATTTTTGTGTTATGCTTTCTTTCCTTATAGATATGCAGTTGTGGAGAATATGACAAGTGTATATTTAAATATAAGAAGCTACAAATTATTTTTCAATGGCTGGACCTTTTTGCATTCCCAAAACCTATTCTGAGAATTCCAGTTGCTCCACAAACTAACTAAGCCCATGAGCCTTTTTTTTTTTTTTTTTTTAAATAACACCATTCTGATCTGTGTATAGTGGCATTTTGTTGTAGATTTAATTTGTATTTCATTAATGATGCTGGGCAGCATTCATGTTGAATTTGTCTTTCATAATCTCTTCTTTGGTCAAGTGACTGAATCTCTTGCCTATTTTTTTTTTTTTTTTTTTTGTAATTGGGTAGTTTATTTTTTTCTTATTGAATTGTAAGAGTTCTTTATATAATCCGAATAATATCCTGTATTGGATGTGTTTTGCAAATATTTTCTTCTAGTTTGTGAGTTTTTAATTTTTTTAACAGCAGCTTTTGAAGAGTAGTGGTTTTTATATTGATGAGATCTAATTGACCTATTCTTTTGTAGCTCACATATTTTTATGTTCTCTGTATAAATTATTTTATAATGCAAGATCACAAACTTTTTACATAATGTTTTGTTATAGAATTTTTTATAGTTTTAAGTTTCTGATATGTTTTAATTTCTATATATGGCATGAGCTATGGATTAAAGTTCTTTTGTGTGTTTGTTTGTTTTTTTTGGCATATGAATGTCCCTAGTCTCAGTTGTTATAAAGACTCTTTTTCTCTATGGAATTACTATGGCATTGTGTTGTACATCAATTGACCGTATAGATGTTGGTCCATTTCTGGACTATTATGTTTTATTGATCATTAAGATCCCACTGTCTTGATTGTTTTAGCTATATGTTGCTGTTGTTGTAAAGTGCCGTCGAGTCGGTTTTGACCCATAGCCACCCTGTATAGGGTTTCCAAAGAGCAGCTGGTGAGCTTGAACCTCCGACTTTGCAGTTCAAATGGCTTTGCAGTCTGGTGCATTAACCCACAGCTCCACACCAGGACTCCTAGTAAGGCTCAAATTCAGTATGAATTATCCCTTGTAATTTCCCCCCCTAAATTGTTTTGAACTTTCTAGTGCCCTTACTTGTCCATATAAAATAAGAGATAGTTTCTTAAAAGTTAATTGCATTGTGGAGTCTGAAATTATCAGTGAATTTTGTGTCTTCTGTCAGATATTAAAATCAGCCAGTCTGTCTGCACACTGTTACTGTTGTTGTTAAGTGCCATGGAATTGGTCCCCACTCATAGCAACCCTGTATAGGGTTTCCAAGGGGCGGCTGGCGAGTTTGAACTGCCGACCTTGTGGTTCAGGCAGACCTTGTGGTCCATTACTTTATCCCACAGTGCCACACCAGGACTCCATCTGCACACTGAGTAGATTTTTTCCCCCCTACAAGTTGATGCTTTTGTAACATCGCACATAATTCACTTGGAAATTGTTGGTTTTCTGAGTTATGCAGGCTTTCTAAATATGAACACATTGCACTGTACAATATTTAAAAATCATGTTTGTGAACATCACTATTGACCTCATTGAGACATTATCATACTTACAGTGGTTAATGCAGGTTTTCCAAGATTCTTTTTTCATTTGAAAACTCAACTTTTATCATTAGCAATACATGTTGTCAAGTCTTTTTATTTTGAAGTAATAGGCACAGGTTAATTTCTGAGACCCTGCTGCCAGTTGCCGAAATCTGAATAATTACAGTTCATTTTACAGCTTAGTCATACAAGGGCTTTTCCCTGAGGTAACCATCATACTTAGGCATATGCAGAACTGATTTTGTTTACCTCCCATTTTGTAAAAGAGAAAATTGAAAAGATGTCTATTTGAAGGATAAGATTTAATAAAGTTAATAATTTTCTTTGTTTCATCAGGACATTATGAAGTGAAACTGGTTTTTTCCAGGGAACTGTTACGAAGGTGGTTATGTGCCGACCCTATATAGGGTTTCTGAGGCTGTAAATTTTTATAGGAGTAGAGCGACTGGTAGAGTCATATTGCTGACCTTGTGGTTAGCAGCCCAACCCATAATTTACTATGCTACCTGGACTCGATGGCACTTAACAACAACAACAACAACCTGGGCTCCTAATGTGAAATATGTTCTCAATTCTTAAAATTTTATACCTAGAAACCTAAACCAAGTGTTATAACACTGGCAAGACAAGTAAATAGTAATAATTTTATGATCACTTGAAGACAACCTCTGATTTTAAGAGTTAGTACAGTTATATTAAGTTACTGTTTATTATCTTACAGGTGCTATCCTTGGCAGATCAGAAACTCAGGAGTGTATTTTCTATAATGCTAACTGGGAAAAAGATAAAACGAATCGAACAGGTGTTGAACCCTGTTATGGTGACAAAGATAAACGGCGACACTGTTTTGCTGCATGGAAGAACATTTCTGGTTCCATTGAAATAGTGAAACAAGGCTGTTGGCTGGATGATATCAACTGTTATGACAGGTATGGAAACATTTTATTGTTAATGACAATATTGAGTGATATTCATTTCTCCCCATCCTTAAAAAGGTAATGACCATTGCATGGATTTTCACTCAAATGTTTCTTGGTCTTTTAAGATGGGATTACAAAACACTCCAGTGACAGAATAAATCTTTTAAAGCAATAAAGTAAATATAGAATGTTTATATTTTGGTGATTGTGGTTATGTGCTGTGGAGTGGGTTCAACTCATAGCATCCCTGTACAGGGTTTCCGAGGCTATGAATTTTTATGGGAGCAGAAAGCCTCATCTTTCTCCTGCGGTGCACCTGGTAGTTTCAAACTACTGACCTTGAGGCTAGCAGCCTGAATTGTAACCACTATGCTATCTTTGATTTATTTTGAGTCGTTTACCAAGTAGGGAGAACTTTAGAAAAACCCCATTTCTTTATTCATGGTTTTAGGATTATAAACCCTTTTTTTCTTTGGTGCCAGCTTAAAACAAAAAGACTAAAACTTCATTATAGTATTTAATGATCTTTTCATTTCCTCCTTTATGTAATAGGGAGGAATTGATCTTACTACATCCCTTCTTTTTTTTTTCCTTGCAAAGTAAACTTTTATTCTTTACCCCAAGAGATGTTTTGACTTGACATAGAGAATTACAGCAGAACTACCACAGTTTGCATTGTTATTGTTAAGTGCCTTTGAGTTGGCTCCGACGCATAATGACCCTGTATTGGGTTTCCAAGGAGTGGCTGGTGGAGTTGAACCACAGACTTTGAGGCTAGCAGTCCAGTACTTATTCTGCAGCGCCACACCAGGATTCCACAGTCCTCATAGAAAACTACGTTTTATTGCAAAGATCTTATTTAAATAGTTTTATTGTGTACAAGAAATGAAATACTTGTAGAGGGTCATTTTATTGATTGCCTGTGCTCTTTCCACGAGGAGTCTCATAGATGGACTGATCCCTAAACTGTCTCAACCACAGGATTTCCAGTGGGGTGGGTACTAATGACTGCCAGAAACATTTTGGAGCCAAAAAGTGCTGATATACTTACTGAACACTAGACTCCTCCTGGTCCCTCTTCAGGAGCCTCAACTGATGACTGGGAATCTGTGATTGATTGTCCATGTGTGACTAATACCGAATTGTATTGAATAAGCCCATGAAATCTGGATTTGCTCCACTTTCCATAAGAAATTAAAACGTAGTCATTTAATTTTTAGTGTTCCGTGTATGCCTTTAAATCAGGGAATCATCCAGGAATTATTTCTTTATAATTATGTATTTTAGTTACATATTTGTTTACAGAAGTGATAATTACTATTATGAAGGGTTTGTAGGAAGAAGAAGAAGCCATGGTGGTTCAGTGATTAAAGTACTTGGCTGTTAACCCAAAGTTCAGCAGTTCGACCCTGCCACCAGTTCTGCAGGAAAAAGATGTGGCAGTCTGTTTCCATAAAGATTCACAGCCTCGGAAACTCAGTTGTTGTTGTTGTTGTTGTTGTTGTTGGTAAGTGCCATCGAATCAGTTCCATCCATAGCTACCTGGTATAGGGTTTCCGAAGAGCGGCTGGTGAGTTTGAACCTCACACCTTGCAGTTCAAACTGACCTTGTAATTGAGTGCTTATCCTCCAGCACCAAACCAGAACTTCTGGAAACTCCATAGGGCAGTTCTGTTTTGTTCTTAAAGGGTTGCTATGAATCAGAATCAACTCAATGGCAACAAATTTGGTTTGAAGTGGGGAAGAATTGGGAGTAAAATGAGGTTTTGGGATCATCTTTATCCCAAACAGCCTTTTATTAATTAGTTGAAATGAGAAATCCATATTCTATTGGTGACAAAAAGTTATGGTGCTTCTTACCTAAAAAAGTGTTTCAATTGGGTGAGACTCAGGCAGTGTTAAAGTATGTAGATAACTATTTTTACTGGAGATAGAACTTTTCTAGATAACAGAGAGTGGGCTGCTTAGTACATAAACTTGTTCTTATAGTAATATTGCTATGCCAGATTTGGTTCTGGGCATTTAGTGTAACTGAAAAATATGTGAGCTTTTGTTTTTATTCTCTAAATTAAAAAACTAAATAGTAAGGATAATAAAAGAAGAGAAAGGAAAAGAGTCAAAATATTAAAAAGACAGCACAAGATTTTTGTACATAAAACAAAAAGCCCAAACTATCAGTTATTGAGTCACTTTCTAGTGACCTTATCTGACTCATCGCGTTTCCAAGGCTGTAATTTTTATGGGAGCAGACTGCCACATCTATATCTTCTTCAGGGTAGCTGGTTTGAACCACCAACCTTTTGGTCAGTAAACAAGCTATTTAACCACTGTACCACCAGGTCTCCTTTTAGTACTGTGTGTGTGTATGTATGTGGGTGTGTGTATGTATATATATATATGTATATGTATATATATATATGTGTGTGTGTGTGTGTGTGTGTGTGTGTGTGTGTGTATACACACACAGATGGTGAGTTTGAACTTCATCCTTGCAGTTCTAACTATCTTGCGGTCTGATGCTTATCCATGACAAACTATGGATAACATTGCGAAGAATGGATACTGGCAAACACTTAATTGTGTTCATAAGGATCATGTACATAGACCATGAGGCATTCTAACCGAACAAGGGGACACAGACTGGTTTAAAATCTGGAAAATTGTGCACCAGGGTTGCATTCTTTTATCATATTTATTTAACCTGTATGCTGAGCAAATAATCCGAGAAGCTGGATTATATGAAGAAGAACATAAAAAATCGGAGGAAGGCTCATTAACACCCTGTGATATGCAGATGAGACAACCTTGCTTGATGACAGAGAAGAGGACTTAAAATACTTAACTGATGAAGACCAAAGATCTCAACCTTTGATATGACTTGCATTAAAGATATAAAAAATCCTCACCGTTGGAGCAATAAGTAACATGAAGATAAATGGAAAAAAGATTGAAGTTGTGAAAGACTTCATTTTGCATTAGGCAAATGTGCTGAACAAGACCCCTTTAAAGTGTTCAACAGCAAAGATGTCCATCTGAAAACTAAAAGTGCGCCTGACCCAAGCCTGCTATTTCAGTAACCTCATATGCATGTTAAAGTTGGACATGAATAAAGAAGACCATAGAATAAGTTGATGCATTTGAGTTATAGTATTGGAGGAGAATATTAAAAGTACCATGAATTGCCAAAAGAACAAACAACAACATATGTATAGGAGTCCTGGTGTGGCATTGTAGGATAGTGCACTGGATCCACAAGGTTGGTTTGAACTGTAAAGTCGATGGTTCAGATTCACCAGCTGCTTCTCAAAAATCCTATACAGGGCTGCTATAAGTCACAACCTACTCAACAGCTCTTAACAAACACACACACACACATGTTGTTGTGCAGTGCCAGTGAATCAGTTCTGACCCATAGCGACCCTGTGTAGGGTTTCCAAGGAGCAGCTGGTGAGCTTGAACCGCCAACCTTGCAATTCAAATGGCTTTGCAATCTGGCGCATTAACCCACAGCACCACACCAGGACTAATATACACACACAAACACATACATATATACACACATATGTATATATATGTGTGTGTGTGTGTATATATATATATATATATATATATATGTTGTTGTTAAGTGCTGTCGAGTCGGTTCCGACCCATAGCGACCCTGTACAGGGTTTCCGAGGGTGTAAATCTTTACGGGAGTAGAAAGCCTGATCTTTCTCCCGTGGAGCAGCTGGTAGTTTCGAACCGCTGTGCTACCAGATATGTATATCTGGTAGCATAGTGGTTCCGAATTGGGCTGCCAACGTCAAGGTCAGCAGTTTGAAACTACCAGCGGTTCTCTGCGGGAGAAAGATGTGGCATTCTGCTCCCGTAAAGATTTACAGCCTCAGAAACCCTGTGCAGGGTCACTATGAGTCGGAACCGATGCCACAGTACTTAACAACAATATATATATATATATATATAGTTTTTGGTTTTTATGTTCATGAAATTGATTGGATGGAGGAAAGTAATTTTCTTGAGCTTCTTTGAATTGCTAGGTATTTAATCATATTGAAAATCTTCTGTTTTCTAAAGCCTAATTCTAAATATAACAAATCAGTTTTGAAATTTATGTGTTTCTCCATACAAATTGTTAAAAGTTAGCTTTCATTTTTCATTTTACTTTTTACTACATACATACGAGTAGGCTTCAAAAAGTTAAGTAAAAATTCCATTATTGTTTAACTCCATATTCCATGAACTTTTTGAAGGCCCCCCTCATATTAATATAGCTTTTATTTCAATGTTTGGGGTTTGTTAAAAGGGCTTTCTCTCTGAATTTCTTGAGCTTTTCATTTTTTAGAGTTGATGTTGTTAAGTGCCATCCAGTCGGTTCTGACCCATAGCGACCCTGTACAGGGTTTCCGAGGGTATAAATCTTTATGGGAGTAGAAAACCTCATCTTTCTCCTGCGGAGCGGCTGGTAGTTTCGAACCACTGACCTTAAGGTTAGCAGCCTGATTCGTAACCACTACGCTACCAGAACTCCTTAGAGTTGATATTTAACCTTAATATTCTAACAACCATCACAGTGGTTCTTAAATTCACCTGATGTTTATTAACTCCCAAACAAAGCAAACCCACTGGCATCAAATGCATTTTAACTCAGACCCTATGCAGGAGTTCTGAGACTATGTCTTTATGGCAGCCAATAGTTTCATCTTTCTTCCGAGGAGTAGTTGGTGAGTTTGAATCGACAATCTTGCTGTTTAACAACCTGACACCTAACCCACAGAAACACCAATATTTAAAACTGTGATTTGTATTTTTCTTTTATATATATGGCTGTTTCTTAGTGGTTGAATTGGGTTTATTCTAGACGCCAAATCCATATAATTTCAGCAACTTTGGCCATGTTTAAGAGGCTGCTCATTTTCCCCCCTTTAATTAACCCATCTGACTCTAATCAGTCTTTGAGTTACTAGGTCCTTATGTTTGATGTTGCTTACTATTCTCTACCTGTTTCTGGAGAAAAAAAAGGGGGGGAGGTGGCACACCATTAATTTCCAAGCCTGGTTTTGGTGTCTGATGTTGAGATATGTTCTGTTCTTGAGATATGAGCTATATCCGTTTTTATATTCTATTTCTATATTCAAAAAAGCTGATTGCCTTGTGTTGATCATCAAAAAACAAACTGCAACAATGGTGTCAAAAAGCAAATGTGATTTTTATAAAATCAGAAGGGACTATTTATGATGAGATGTATTAATAGGCATCCAGAAACATTTTTGAGTTTTAAGAATTGATTATATTAATAAAAATCCTGAAGTTAAATATAAGTAATTTATTTGATCTCTGAGAACTTTAGAAAAATGTCTATTGTAAGGTTAGTATAATGTTGATTTTAATTTTTTTCTACTCTGTTTGTTTATAGGACTGATTGCATAGAAAAGAAAGACAGCCCTGAAGTATATTTTTGTTGCTGTGAGGGCAATATGTGTAACGAAAGGTTTTCTTATTTTCCAGAGATGGAAGTCACACAGCGTAAGTTCACAGGGAATACATAGGTCTGTTCAAGTAGTAAATTGAAAATAAAGCTTACATGTGTTGGGTGGAATAATATTCTCACTTCTTCCTTCCCTATTTTTTCCCTAAAATATGACATAGTAATAAATATCTATTTATATATGAGTTGGTTTTTTTCCTCCCTTTTCTACAGCTACTTCGAATCCAGTTACACCTAAGCCACCCTATTACAACATCTTGCTTTATTCCTTGGTGCCACTTATGTTAATTGCGGGGATTATCATATGTGCATTTTGGGTGTACAGGCATCACAAGATGGCATACCCTCCTGTACTTGTTCCAACACAAGTAAGTTCTTGTCTCATAGTTTGTGCTATTTGAAAATGATGTCTTTTTGAAGAAAAAATACTCTAGGGTTTTGAAATAAGTGAGAATCTTCTTAGTCTCCTAATTCTCTATCCATACATATTTTTTATTGCCTTTGGTGAAACCTATAAGATTGTTGGAAATCATTTTCTTTTGGCATTTTGAATGTTTATTCTTATGTTGCTTATTCTTGCAACATTAACTTCCTGTGGCCTAAACTTCTTATTTAAGGGTCGAGGTAGACTAGAGTGAGGGATAATCCCATTCTTACTCCTCTGTGGAGAGTTTTGCGTGCATTCCAGTACTTTAAAGTATGAGATACACCTTGCTTTTTTTCTTGATAAGCAGTTACTGGTGAGAAGAAGTGATATCACAACTCTATCTTTCCCTTCTCTCTTTTCCTCCATTCCTAAGTTTTTATGTCTTTTTCAAGATTACACACAAGACATAGGGAGGGGCTCATGAAAGTAACCAAGAAGGTGAGCCAAAGGGTTCAGAATGATGATGTTGTTGTTACAAAGTGCTGTCAAGTTGGTTTTGATTCATAGTAACCCTTTGTAGGGTTTCCAATAGCAGCTGGTGGGTTTGAACCTTGTGGTTACCAGTTCAGTGCTTCTACTACAATCCCACACCAAAGCAGACCCACACAAATTCTCGTGCTAGGGAGCAGCATTTCTCATTATGTCATGTTGTTGGTTCCAAGTATATATACATACATATACATATACATATATATATATATATATATATTTTTTTTTTTTTTTTTTTTTTGCTTGCAGTATATTAAGTGTGTACTGAAGACTAAATATTTTATAGTGTGGTGGGTCACAGATTACACTCATTAAAATTTCCTCATTCTCTACCATGTCGACAGTTGGCACTGGTCCAGTGTTTTATAAGAACTTTTAGTAGTAGTTAATATTATACAAGTCCAGGAAAGCTGGTAACTTTTCAATATACTTGCTTGAGACATCTCTAAACTCTTGATTTTTACTGTGTTTCATTTAACTCGGAGGATCAGATTACCTTGCCCTTATGTATCTCTTCATTTAACTTGAGTTTTCTAATATCTGTAGGATTGTTAAAACTTTATAGGAGAAAATGGTGAAGTCCTGTAAAGTAATTCCTGTCCTCTCAGCTTTATTTATATAACACTTCTTTCTCAGTACTTGCAGCAATCTGTTGGAATTAGATCACTGATCACCATAATTTTTGTAAAATGTGTATGTGGCGACATAAACCAAAGGAAACATGCCTTGTTTAGGAAATTAGATAAGCACACTATTGGGTGCAACGTTTTCATTTTTAAACATTAGTGACTAATTCATGGGTTTATTAAAAATCATGTATAAAAATATTTTTAAATAGAAATTTTACTTCCTAATGTATGTATTGTTTAGTTCAAATGGCCATTTACTTTTGTTTGTGGCAACCAGTTTTTATTTATTTTGGTATTTAAATATGGAAGAGAGTACACAGTTCTATGATAGTTTCCGGAATTTATCTAAATTTTTAATATGATAGAAACAAACTGGAGACCATATTTACAAACAAATTCATGTTTTTAAAAGATAGGACTTTAAAAAATAGTGCTGTAATTTTTATAGGCAATTTTTTTTACTGATTTGTAAACTATATTGATACAGATAGTTAAGACATTTATTTAAAAGTCTGGATATTCTATATATGTTGTTATTGTTTGTGCCTTTTAGTCACTTCTGACTCATAATGACCCTGTATAAAGTTTCCAAAGAGCAGCTGATGCGTTTGAACTGCAGTTCAAACCGACCTAATCGTCCAAAGATTATCCTATAGCGCCATACTAGAACTCTATATATGAAGCCACTTTATTTAGAAGTGCTAATTAAGTCAAGACTTCAGACTTTTAAAAAGAAAGAAATCCGTTGTTATTCATAAATGTCTATAAACCAGAGAGCTTCAAAGAGTTTCTAGTTTTGTGAGTTTTAGATATTTTTTGTTGCTGTTTAGTACTTAATTGGTCTGTGGTGAATGTACATTAACTACATGAATTGCTAAAAGGTAAGGAATACATTTCAAAGTTTTGTACTGAAGTGGCCTAGAATGATTAAGCTTTGCTTTGGCAAATGAAAGACATATCTGACTTTATCCTTTCTGTTGTAAACTATGGAGTCCTGGTGTGCTGGAGTATAAATAAGCCACAAGATCTGAAGTTCAAGTCCACCTGCCCCTCTTTTGGACACACTAAACCAGGGTCACTGTGAGTCAGAACTGACTCTACAATATGCAACAATAATATTATAAACTATGTTGTGCAAAAAGGGTTTTGTTAGCAATGTAAAACTTTATTTTATGCCATTTCTTACTGTCTGTGAAACAAATAGTATGGTATCATCCTTTAAGCCTTAATTTTTGATGAGCGGTTTATGTTAACTAGTTCTGTGGGTTCCTTAGTGTACATCTTGTTAGAAAAAACTGATTTTTCTCCTATTAAATATGATTGGAAATCATAGTAAGCATCCATTAAACACTTAGGGTATTATTAAGTTGTATTCATACATATAACTATGCAAGGCTAAGTCAAAAAGTGTTGCTACTACGTACTAGAATTCCAGTTCATGCAAACACAGATTTACTCCTAACCAAACATGTTTAAACATGTCTCTGTGATAAGTGGATGGCTGCAGACAAGTTCTCTCAGTAATGCACTTGTCTTAGTTTTGTTAGGGTGTCTTAGCAAAAAAGTACAATTTAATAGTAGTTTCTGAGGGGATCAGCTGGGCCAGTTAAATTCAAGGCAGAGAGGTCAACTCAGAAGGTTATAGGGACTGGTTTTTGGGAATCCAGAGGGGTAATTTTATTTGAATTTGAATTGATGCGATAGCTGCTGATGTTGTTGGGATCTCACATGGTTTGACATTTTTAATTTTAAGTAATTATCTTGACTTAGCAAGCTTTTGGCTCAATGGTTGCTAAAAGTGTCGCATGAAGATCACTTAGCTCAAAGAGTTTTAAAAGCAAGATCATCACTAATAAAGATGATTCGTGGAATGAATCATAACTGGGGATGAATCTTAGATTTACCAGTATAATCTAGAGAGGAAGGTCCGGTTGTATCATAACATCATTCAGCCATGTCAAATAGGGAAAGGATGGTTCTTGTACTTTGGGTGGAGTCGGGAAATGTAACTAATTTTATTAATGCTAGTACTCATAAAATAGATTGACTTTGTATAGCAGACTTTTAAACACATCTCTTGTTTTCTCCCTCTTTCTTTTCAAATATTCTTTTACTTAAAACATTAGTTATGAACATTGTTGTGTGCCTTTGAGTTGGTTCCAAGTCAGAGCTACTCTGAATAGGGTTTACAAGGAGTGAAGTGACTGGTGGGCTTGAACTGTTGATCTTGAGGTAAGCAATCCATTGCTTATCCTACAGCACCACACCAGCCTTTAAAAATGTGTGTTTGGAATTAAAAGACAATGGAATTTATCCACAAACTTTTTGACACTCCATACATGCTTGTTGTAACAAGACAGATTATATAGAAGTATTATGTAAAATAACCAAAAGCCCTAGTAGAACCATGGGTTAAGTGTCGGGCTACTAACCACAAGGTTAACACTTCAAACCCACCAGTTACTTCACAGGAAAAATATGAAGCTGTCTGCTCCTGTAAAGATTTCGTCTCAAAGACTCTAAGGGGGTGCGGGGTCCGGGCAGTGGTAGCTATACTCTGCAATATAGTATCTCTGAGTTGAAACTGACTCCATGTCAGTGGGTTTGATTTTGATTTATGTTAAAGAAAAAAGAGAGAGAATATGCTCCTTCTCTCCCCCTTCTCTATCACTTTTCTAAAATAACATATTTTAATAGGTTGGTATGTATCCTTTGATACCTTTCTCTAATATGTTTGAGTACATACATTTTCTCCTTATACCAATGATAAAATTTATTCTACAACAGACTTCTTTTACCAGTATATTGAGGATTACTTTTATGCTCAATGCTTTTGTCTTGTTTATATTTAATGATAAGCTTAAAAGTATGAAATTTAGTGGTGCACTATTGTATGCTCATGGAATACAAAAATTTGGCAAGTTTTATTAGCGTGGAGTTTGTTTTAGGTTCCTGCTGTTTGGGATACGCATCTCATATATTTTTAACTGCCATTATTTTTACCATGTTTAACATACTGTGACATAATGCTACTATCTTACTCTTGAGCAGCTTTTTTTTTTTTTTTTTTTAATTGCCTAAAAAGCAGTATGGGAATGCTACCAATATCTCTTCTTTTTGGACCCCACCTTGGTGTGTTATTATTTTTATGTTGACTGCCTAAATTATGTCATATTTGTACATTTTGTTGTTGTGTGCTGTGGTGTCAGTTCTAAGTTATGACCATGTATAGGATTTTTGAGGCTATAAATCTTTATGGGATCAGTGAGCCCCATCTTTTTCTTATGGAGTGGTTGATGGGTTTGAACTGCTGACCTTGTTGTTAACAGCCCAACACAAAACCTGTTACACCACGCTGCTTCCTTATACCTTTATGTATACTTGTAAACAATTGTGAAGGGGATCTGGTGGCACAGAGGGGTAATCATTAGGCTGCTAACAGAAAGGTCAGCAGGTCTAATCCAGCAGCCATTGTGAGGGAGAAAGATAAAGCTGTCTGCTTTAGTAAAGTCTTATAATCTCAGGAAACCTTGAGAGTAGCTCTGTTCTGTCCTTTAGGAAGTCTACATGAGTTAGAGTTGATGCAGTGGCAGTGAGTGGGTTAAATAGATTGTAGTGAGAAGTGTCATAAATTATACGGAGACATGCGATAATGTGATACAGACTTATTCTTTTGTCCACTTAAGTACACAGGCATGTACTTGGAGAGTTGCTGAAATACTATGTCCAAAAGCAAAAAGGGGAAAGGGAGAAAAGAGAAAAATTTAAATCTTTATCAGAAGCTTAAAACAAGTTATACAGCACATTAAAATTAATCAAAGCG